GCCGCGCTAAGGGATTATAACCCTCACACCGTAGAATTCTCCTTTCTGTGTTGCCAAAGAAAAGGGGCAGAACACCTTTTGCAGAGAAAACTTTTCTGCGTAGGCGGCCTTCGGCCGCGCTTAGACATTATAACCCTCACAACGTAGAATTCTCATTTCTGTGTTGCCAAAGAAAAGGGGCAGAACACCTTTTGCAGAGAACACCTTTCTGCATCGGCGGCCTTCGGCCGCGCTTAGGGATTATAACCCACACAACATAGAATTCTCTTTTCTGCGTGCGAAGAAAAGGAACAGAAATCCTCTTTTTACAAAAGTATATTTCTTGTGCATTATTTTGGTGTTTTCAAAGTTGAAATACAAATTGTATTAATAGAGTGGCAGCACTAGTTTTCCTCCATCTTATTTATATTAACTACACAAGATTGTTGTGCGGATTTTCACCATCGGAATATTGCTATTAAATACAGAATTTCGCGAAAGTGTACACTTAAAACATCACAAATGTATAAAAACTAGTAAGCACGTGTTAAATTAAGCTCATTTATTCCATTCATTTGCGTGAAATTCATCAAAACAGTGCGGAAAGTGCAAGTGTTTTTTGCAAATAACTCTTTAATTAATTAAAAATGTTAATTTCCGGTCTCGGACTGTTATTATTGGCGTTAAGACGCGTCGATTGATACCACTGTCGAACTGTTTCCATCCATTTTGACCTACCTTCGCCAAAGTACACTACTACCTTTAAATGCAGCAAAAACGCTGCATAAAGAATGCAGTTGTAATATTTTATGGGCTGTTTTTGCTTACGCGTAAAAGCTCATTTAGCGCATTTAGCTCTAAATGCTACTCTAAATGTACATTTATCCATACAAAATTCGTCACCTAAATGCAACTAAATGCAACTCCATTTTTGCATTAAGAATCTAAATGCTAAAAGCAACCCTGTGATCTTCCAAAATTTCCACGATTCGAACATGGTTTAATGGGAAAAAGTGGCACCATTGCATTTTCGAGTATACAGTGGCTAGCTGCGTTTCAGTGATCTCCGACTGAGATTTCATTTATTGTTTTACATTATTTGGATAAACAAAAATTACGCAAATTCAACATCGATGTGATGCTGATAGAAATTTGGATCAATTTGTGATCAACTCCGATTGTTTTGTTTCCTAATTAAGTGAGGAAATTTTATTTGACAGCACCGACAAATGAATATATACACAAACAAATTTACGGTTATGGTTAAAACAATTAAATTTTTTCTATTGAGTTTGGATTTTTTTGGTTAAAAATTTATTTTTTCCTTTTCAGTAGGGTTTTTTTTGCACATTATCTTTTCCGTGAGAATTGATCGTAATAGATACGGATCTGAATAAGCGACTGGAACACGGCTGTTTGTCAAAAGCATACGATTTCGAACTCGCGTAAATGTACATTTGCTAAATGCTGTAGCATGAACGCTCTTCGAAAACATATGTTCGAAAGTGCTAAATGTTGCATTTTAAATGCAGCAAAAACGCTGCATTACCCGAACTTTTTCTTCTGGTAAAATCATGAAAAAAAAGTGTCAAGCGATCACTGGTTGACATTTTTACAGGAAAAAATGATTTTTTTTGTTCCCGTACTTTTTGCACGGTGGAGAGAATACAGAGGTGGCGCCGATGACGATACCGCTACTCGGCTCTCAGTGATTTTGACAGAATCAGCTGTTTTGGTGACGTCATAGTAGAGCAGACAGCAGTAGTGATGTGCTGAGTCAATACTTCTAAGTACCCAATACACTCGATACTCGGTACCGAAACATTTAGGTTTCGAACAAAAGCGCACATAGGCCAAAAATATGGAAAAAACGCCTAACAAAACCCGAATGTAAGAGTCAATAGAGCTTTTTTACTGATTCAAATGAAAGATGTATATATGTCGGTTCGATGCCAAGAGAAACCCTTACTTGTTTGAAGCATTTTTGTTCCAGCTGAATCGGACGATATCATTTTTGTAGGCCTGGGACAGATTCTGTAACCAGTTAACGACAATTTTCGAATCGGTATCGATTTTGTCGACGTTTGATATCAAATATTTGTAAGTCAACAAGTGCGATATCGATGAGAAACTTGTCGCTAACTGGCTACAGAATCTCTCCCCTGAAAGGCTTCTTTATCCGTCAAAGTATTTTTCTTGAACCTTGGACCGACAAAGGTTAAAACTGATAAAATAATATTTTTCTGTGGCGATAAGTTCAAGTGTTTTAGCCGATATCATATAAATTAGTAATGAAAGTTTTTTCTAAACCTGAAATGCATATAATGGCGAGGGTTTAATGTAAATAATCGGTATCGGATACCGAAAAGGAAGTATAGGGTACCGAAATCTTTTTTAAGTATTGGGTACCGAGTATTGGGGACAATTCAGCACATCACTAGTCGCCCTCATTCTCGCCGCTCTCAGTTGTCAACTCTACGATGACGTCACGCTAAAATTACTCTCACGAATTCTGCTGCAATCGGCGCAATCTTGTATTCTATCATTCTTGTACTTTTTGTTGTTACTCACTTTTTACTCGCACTTCAGAGAGTAATTTTGCTGTTTGACAGTTTTATAGGATTTTTCACGAAAAGTATTGGATCAGAGCTACTGCTTAAGAGCGCTACTAGTGCGTGTGCTCCTTAAGATAGAATTATCGGTTTTGTCGATATACTGTGCCGGCTTTCAACCTCGAGGCTTTTTCTAATTGTTTTGATTTCTTTTTCAAGCTCATATTTAGATCATGAATCTGTATTAATTATTGAATCATGTATTTAGAACGCATGTTAATAGGACAATAAAAATATATTCTGGCTACTAAACGTTTGCCAATAGCAATATGTGGACTTTATTAAGTAGAAGCATGACTTTCAGGGTTAGAAAACGTTTAATTAAACATTTCACCCTGCCACCAAGTGTTGACAATAATGTGGACCCAAAGGTTATGTTTGAATTCAAAAAACATTTGAGGAACCATCGCTTGCCATTCAAAGATGGAGCCACATGTTTGCAGGTGGAATGTTATTTATGTGTTAATAAATCTGCTATAGATGCTTATATAAATAAACGCACCGGTGAGTTCTGAACCATGTAAAGTAAAATTTTTTCTTATGCAGGTTATTTGCAGGGCTCTTCCTTTGTCCCAATTGTGATGTGAAGAAAAATTTAACAGACGTGCTCCCTTTATATGAAACAAAGTGCAGAGGCGATGCAAAGTACAAAGATGTGAACTATGAAACTAAATTCACAACCTTACAACCAATTTCACAAAGCATATGTGATAACCTCGGAATTAAGGGTCTTAAATCTACAGACTTGGACTACTTGGGAGCTCAGTATGAGTCCACTCTTAATATCCTTAGCTTCCCTATACGTAATGTCGCAAATAAGATCGTGGGTGAGAAAATTCTTTATTTATCCGATAAGACTGAGGAAACAATAGAGAATTTTAATTATTCTGGTTTACTGATATGCAGTTCAGCTCATAAAACCACACGAGTGGTTTTGGTATCGAAACTAATGGACTTCATGGTGTTAGCAATGCAGCGCTTGAGTAACAGTAGGTAATTTTAAACTTTAAACTGCCTAAAATCAAAAAGCTGAATGTACATACGCACATTGGGCCTTACCCAGTAGATAATTTCAGGAGCTAAAAGCCCTTCCGAAAGGCCTTCCTGTGAGTCAGGAGGCCTTCCACTCCACATTCCTTCCTTTTTTGTATGGAATGTTTTCTTTTGATGGGTTGAACCGGGTTTGAACCCAGGCCCTGAGGAATGGTAGCGCACACTGCTAACCACTACACCACAGCAGCCGTCACCAGAGTTGATATTTGCTTTAACTAACATATGATTAATAATTCGCGCTTTTAATATATTTTTTACCTTTTTCTTTATAGCTTCAATTGCATGTTTACCGTATGGCCTAAAAACACTGCCTCAAGAATGTTTGCCATGCCTTGAAAAATTTAAAGAGGTTGTGTTTTGGTTTGACTTTGATACGCCAAATTGGGACGCGGCGAAGAATTTTTCAAAAAAGTTGGAAGATAAACGCTGTTTTTTCATACGACCGACTGATACTGAACCAGCTCCATTCGAAGCTCACAGGAAACGACTCAATTTGCAACATATTCTGAACAAAGCAACACCTATGTGCCACAAATCTATAACCACATTTAGCGCACTAAAAAATGATATTCTTAGTGAGCTGCAAAACATTGAAAAAGTCAATGGCGTAAAGTGGAAACGGTATCCTATGTTGAATAAAATACTTAAAGGCCACCGAAAAGGAGAATTAACAATACTAACTGGTCCTACCGGCAGTGGAAAGACGACATTTATGAGCGAATATTCTTTGGACTTGGCTTTACAAGGAGTCTCAACGTTGTGGGGTTCTTTTGAAATCCGAAATTGCCGGCTAGCCGCAACACTCCTCCGACAATTTGTGGGATATTCTCTCGAGGATAAGCTCAATGAGTTTGAATATTGGACAAGTGCATTTGAGCGTTACCCGCTGTATTTCATGACATTTCATGGTCAACAACCGCTTAAATTAGTCATGGAAGCCGTTGAACATGCTCAATATGTACATGACATTAGTCATGTAATAATTGATAACCTACAATTCATGATGGGAACATCAATGACTCTGAAAAGCGACAAGTTTTGGGAACAGGATGCTATAATATCTGCTTTTCGATCTTTTGCTACTAAAAATAATGTTCATGTTACTTTGGTTATGCATCCCCGCAAAGAACGTGCTGAAGAGGATCTCACAGCTAGCTCCGTATTTGGAACAGCAAAAGCTACACAAGAAGCAGACAACGTCCTTATTATACAAGACAAGCGTTTAACTTCGATTCGGGGTAAAAAATACCTACAAATTGTTAAAAACCGGTACAGTGGCGACTTGGGAATAATGCCACTAGAATTTGACAAAGAATCTCTGAGTTACTCTCTGTCAAACAAGAAAAAAAAAGCTAATAGCTGAAAACCATATTTTTACATAAGTTAACTTATTTTAAAGTGTAATTACATTGTACATTTTTTGTTAAATATTTATGTTTAAGTAAAAAAACATAATCCTTTTAAGTTGAACTTTGTTTATAATTCTTTATATCAAGAAGCTTCTTTCCACACATGGCGCAGATTGCTTTTTTGTACGCACATGCCTGACAGTAATGGGAGCCAATCTGATGCACTTTTTGTCGACATATCCTAGAAAATGTAGCCTGTAAAATTCCGAGAAAAAGACAATTCTACATGTATGTATACCGACCTGCAGGGTGCTAAACTTTTAGAAATTGGATTTTGTCTGTCTCTCGCTGTCGACAAGGCCTTGTTCTCATTTATCTTTCTTTTCATCGAACCTGTTTTCCATGGATCCGGTGTTACAACTTTGGATAATTTAACTTCGCAGCGATCACAAACCATTTTGCCCAACTATTTGTTATTTTGTTTTCAAATTAGATATGGGCTAATTTCAAAAATCGATGTTCGTTTCGATTACACGGGGCTCACATCCCTACAAGAACAGTGACCCTGCCAGCCACGGCTCCCCACAAGACGTATTTAACAAGGTGATGGCCGTATATAAGTAAAAAATTACACTAACAAATTATACGCTGATGTCCATACTGTCATTGGTATGAGTTACAACAAACACATCATTTTGACGTAATGGCCTCCACGCCGAAAAACTCAGCTGTCGCCACAACACCACCTTGTTTAATACACCTTGGCTCACCACTTTCCCCTAAAATTCAAACGATTTACAACTTTTTAGTCATCTCACCCACACACTTACACATTTTTTGTTCGAACTGTCAAAAAAATGTCCCTTGGTTAGAGCTACATACCCGATAAGAATTCGTACTCTAATAAGAATGCTATGCGTTAGAGCGAGCCAGTTAGAAACATCGGAATTTTGATGACAGTATACATACTGTGAAGAAATGTCACTTTGCGAAAATTTTGAAGGTAAGAATACGTATTTAACAATTTTATTTAATTATAATGTAATTTCTTCTTTTAGATTGCAAAACAGCAGCCACTTAGTCACATTCTTAAGGTATGTATTGAGACTTTTTATATGTTTATAAATTTTCAGTGATATTTTTGTTTGTTTACAGATTTGGGATTCACCATCAGCACCTTCAACGCTTGCATCTCCGTCGCCAGGAGCACCATTAGAACCTTCTGCCCTCAGCTTCTTCATCGCCAGGATCACCACCAGTACCTTCTTCCCTCAGCTCCTTCATCGCCAGGAGCACCATGGGTACCCTCCGCCCTCAGCACCTTCAACTACAGGAGCACCTTCAAAGTGTAGGTCCAACTTGTCAAATTTTGCAAAGGTGTAAGAAAACTTAATTTTTCCGAACCACCAGAAATGATTTGCAACTCTTAGGGCCGGTTACTCATTGTCTGGTTAACGCTAATCTCCCGTTAAACATATTTATCGACGTTACCGACTCCCTGTTGTAAGCATGGAGGCGAAGACGTCGATAACGATGTTTAACCGCAGATTAGTGTTAACCAGACATTGAGTAACCGGCCCTTAATATATATGAAAAGAAAGGTAAACCGATTATCTTTCTTTTGATTATAACACCGTTAAAATCGCTTTAAGTTTTCATAAAAACTTTGCAACTTTTGTAAACAGCTATATATAAGCAGTGGAAAAGTGGTAAAATTTTGCAAAGTTGTAACGAAACTGAATTTTTGTGCTCCATTACAAATTATTTGCAACTGTCAATGTATATTAAAAGAGAGGTAAATCGATTACCTTTCTCTTGATTATAATACTGTTAAAATCGCTTAAATTTTTTAAAATATAAAATTTGCAACTTTTTAAAACATATATATGCATAGGAGTAGTAGTAATAATAAGCAATTAAGCAACCACATATGTATGTAAAAATATCTTTATTATTAATGTTATTTGTAATTTTTATTCATAATATTGATTACTAACTATGTATATTAGGTTAACAATGCATTTTGGAAAATAAATTTTGCAAAATAAAAATCAAAAAAAAATTCAAGATTTTTTATTTAAAGTTTTTAAGGTTATTTTGAATTCGCTGTGAAGAGAATGCAACCCTGTGCCAGCTGAAGTGGGCAATGCTAGACGAGTGCAGCTATATGTTTTCCTTACGAAGTATCTGAATGAGATCGACAGTGATGCTAGGCTCACACGTACAGGGGGAAAGTGGTGACAATCTGCACACCGCCCATAAAAATGTCACCAGTTTTGAAGTGACCGAAACCCGCGGTTTCACCAGATTTTTCACCACTTTTGGCTGGCAGGGGATAGTCATTTGATTAATCATATGTAACCGGCCGTCTTCACATGCTTGAAAATCTCGCTTGCGTTCTGCTTTTTTCTCTCGCAAGCGTGATAGAGTTTTGTTGACTGCGCATTTGACAGCATACTTTTTCATTTGTAAATGTCGCCAAACAAGACGGTTCAAGCCTTGCAGGCTCTTAAAAGTTTGAGAAAATTAGAAAATCTGCATAAAGAGATGTGTACTATTTTCAAATGAAAAATGGCTGCCTCTAAACTTGTATTTGCCTCCAAAAGAAACGATGTTGCTACTCTGAAGAATTCTGCGAAATGAGAACATAGCTGTCAAACAACAAAAATGACAGTAGAAAGCAAGCGAGAGCTTGCATACCGCTCGGTATGCGAGAAAAAGGCATGCTTCGTACTTTTTGCGGTCTACACGTGCGGTTTCTCGCATGCGCCGTCACGCAAGCGAGATTTTCCAGCACGTGAAGACGGCCGGTAAAAGTATGTTCACATATCAATTGAGGGATTCACAACCATGAACCAAAAATACAAGATCACGTAAGAACGCGACGTTGTATTTGTAACTGGTTTTGAGAAAAAAGTTTGCGAAAGCGGGTTCGTCACCTGAGCGTTTGTTTACATCACAAGCACCACTATTTTACACTTTTATTCAAGTAAAAAAGAGTTAATTCAACATGACAACACATTTTAAAGCATTTTGTTGCATCATTTTACCTAAATTGTGCGTTTAAAGTGTCTGACAATAATTTTGGCTAATTTTGGTTTTCGTTGTTTTCTTTGCTTTGTTTACTTTTCGCTCGTTTTCCAGTGAAACAAGATGGCGTAGAACCCGCAAAAAAAATCGACTTTTTTCACTCTCTTGTTCTTACGTGATCTTGTGTCTTTCGTTCATGATTCACAACGGTGTCGTATTGTTGTATGTCGTAAACTTTAAAAGCTTAAAGAAATGTATAGAGCACTTGAAACCACAACCAACAATTTTTTAACACTGCGAAAACTTATAATATTACTTTGACGGTACTTTGCGAACCCCCTTAATATATTTTTTGGCGTTTAACCCTTGGATTCAGCAATTAGGGACGCAAACGATGCATCGATATTTTTGAAACATCGATAACATCGGTTCAAAGCTCGATGTTTGCCATCGATGTTTACAAGTTTCTAAAATTGCTAAATTGACGATACATCGATGCCAGTTTCAGCGATGTTTTAACATCGACTTTAGTGTGATTCAGACTTGAATTCAACTTACCCATTATCCTCCTAAAATTTTTTCCCTGGCTATGAATTTTATTGCTTATTCTTTTGGGGAAAATTCGGAAATTCCGTGTATACCCTTATCTTTCGATATTAAAAATGCGTACATAATCATTAAAAAAGGACCGGGTTCCCGTTGAAATTTCAACGAAATTGGGGCTTGGAACTTTAGGCTCGGCGATCTTACGACGGCATGCATTTTTATTATATTTATAGGAAGGGCAAAGGAATGGTAAATAAATACAGGGAAATACATCCATATTGTGGCGAATACTGCGGCAACACAAAGCGAACAACGAGAAATAGGCA